TCTTTAGATGTAACACCGTTAACTAATAGATTGTTGTTTCTTAGGATGACCAGACAACTCATTCTCAATCCTGAGTGAGTTATGGACTCCTACCCGTAAGGGCTCGTCCTTTGATCTGTATGGGTGAGAGTGGCCCGAGTTGCCCACTCAATATTCCTACCATTTTGAAGACGAGACGGAGTGGGGAGCTGGGAACATAACTTCACAAGATGGAATTCACTCCTTTCCGAATTTAGGGGAGTAGATGAGTGTTCTCTTAAATGCTGACTCCGGGACTTGAACAAAGGGTCTCACCCTCTCATTGGCCCGAGAGGGACTTCCGGTTATTAGTCGGACCATAACCGGGTTGTTCATTAGAGGAGCAGTGGTATTTAAGGAGTAAGATGTAACTCATGGGTAAAACGGTAATTTGACCCAACTTGAGTTACGAGTACTCGTGAAAGATTGACTCGTCATTTGGACACGAAAACATTCTACAGTGAGAAGAGTGCAACTACGGGTCTTTAGTGGAATGACCCGTAGTTAACGAATGTTGATTAACTCGGTAAATGAGTTTTACCGATTAATCTCGTATCGTTGGAGCTTCGGATCTGTAGGTCCATTAGGTCCCCTTGCTAGCTCATAACGGGTAAAACGAGGATCAAGTTTTGGAAGAATTTGAACTATTTTAACTGTTCAAATTTCGTAAGGGATTATATGTATATTGATACATTATAATATATAGTTAATTCTAAATTAAAACTATATATTATGAGAGAAATTATTTGAATGAGATTCAAATAAAATTAATATGAATAAGATTCATATTAAGACTATAGATAAAAAATAATGTGCATAAGATGTACATTAGAACTATAGGTTATACGAGAGAAATACAATAGAATATGATTCTATTTATGTGATAAATAATTAAGGGTTATTAATTATTTATTTGATATATATATACATATTAATTATTTATTAATTTGATTAATAATTAATTAACATTTATTAATTAATATGATTAATTAATTAATTATATATATTAATTATTAATATTAATATTAATATTAACACTCCCCAGCTTAATTGCAGGGGAATGGGGGCAGTTATGACGTGGGGAGTAGTTTTTTTGCAGAAGTGTTTTGCAACAGAAAAAAGGCCCCAACGAAGAACTTCTTGATTTTTTCTCTCAATCAAGCTCTCTCCCTCAACTCTCCCTCACATTCCAAATCGGTGCTCCCATAAGCACGCTCTCGAGACCCAAGAGGATAGCGAGGAAGACACGGTGGTGGTGTTCGGGTGGAAACCGAACGTTCTTCAAAGGTAAAGTTTTCCCCTGTTTTTCCTTCTTGTGCATTGTGTTTTTGTTTCCCAAATTTCACGAACAACGGTCTGCTTCCGCTCCGGGATTCACATCCCTTCAATTGGCCGTGGTTGCAAGTTCCCTCGGTTGTGGTTCTTTATCGTCTGATTAATGGCCGTGGTATCATTTTTCACTCTCGTTGGATTCATGGCCGTGGTTGCAAATTACCTCGGTTGTGGTGCTTATTGTCTGTTTCATGGTCGTTGTGACATTGTTGCCTCGGTCGTGGTCCTCTAATGTTCGATTAAGGGTCGTGGTTGTATGTTCCCTCGGCCGTGGTCTTCTAATGTTCGATTATGTGCCCCCCTCCCGTGTTTGTGCATTATATTATGGTCATGTCTGAAACTAACACGGTCGTGGTGACTTTGATTACTAATTACTTGTGTGTTATTATTATTATCCATGCAGGATGCGTAGACTATTTGTGATCTACGGTGGCAAGTAGAACGAAGTTGGTACGGTGTACGAAGGTGGCGTCATGGGTGGGCTAGATGTTGATGAAACGATAACATATGTCAACCTAGTAAGTGTCTTGCACATGCTTACTAGAATTGATCCTGACCAATTTGATCTTATATATTGTACAATATGTATATTGATTTGATTTTCGGTACGAAGTCCTGAACTATCTGATATTTGATGACAGCAGTTTGAGATTTTATTTGAATGACCTTCTCGATCCGTCACAAGTACCCTTGTACGTAACCGTCGTACCTAAAACATCATATGGTAGTGGGAGCAGGAGAGGAAATAATTTTTTCGAAACCCATACATCGTCTTCATTCCAATACTACCCAGGACAGAATGATCCATGTTTCAGCCGTTGTATTTCTATTGACTCTCCTCTGGATGATGTCGGTTCCTCTCATTTGTCCCACAGATTACACCATTGGCCGATAACGTTGTCCCATGTAACCTAGGCGACGACGAATGTCCATATTATGGTCAACTGTACGAGAATGAGGTTGAGTACAAATTTCAACGGGATGATGAGTATGATTATGACGAATATTGTACAGAGGATGGGGTTGAGGACGATGGTGGGAATGGATATGATAATGGGGAGGAGGATGAATATCATACCGAGGATGTGCTTGACGACCATTATGAGGATGAAGGTCAACATGTTCACGAGTCTCATACAGTGAGTGGGAATGTACCTTATCAAACAGTTGAAGAAGTTGTTTCACGTCTGATGCAGAATATCATAACTGGCAATGGGTCCGACTTCGTAGGTGAAATTGTTGTTAAGGGTATTTTCCGTTCGAAGGAAGAACTACACTTCAAGCTGTCTGTGTTAGCTATAAAGCTGAATTTTGAATTTAAGGTTAAAAAATCGACGAAGACATTGTATACCGTTGGGTGTACCGAACAAGGTTGCAAATGAGGTTTGCGTGCAAAGATTATCCGAGGTGGTGACTCATTCATCATTTCGAAGTTTAATGATGTTCACAAGTGCAAATGTGAAGTACTGAACCATGACCATAGGCAAGCTCGGAGTTGGGTGGTTGGTCAGTTATTGAAGTCCAATTTGGAGGATGTCAGCCGTTAGTACAGACCTAAGGACATTATTAACGACATGCGAAAGAATTATGGGGTGAACATTAGATATGAAAAGGCATGGCAGGCTGTTAACGCAGGCACTGTTTTTGAAGTGGAGCTGGAGGAAGATAAGTTTTTTAAGTACACGTTCATGGCCCTCGGTTGCTGTATTAGAGGGTTTTCCAGTTGTATCCGCCCAGTGCTGGTGATAGATGGTGCACATCTCAAGGGTAAATATAAAGGTGTTATTCTTATTACTTCTTCTGTTGATGGCAACAATCAAATATATCCTCTTGCCTTTGGAATTGTCGATCAAGAGAGTGATCAATCCTAGACTTGGTTTCTGAACATGGTCAAGACATGTATTGGAGAGGTCGATGGGTTATTATACGTATCTGATCGACATGTGTGCATTACGAAATCTGCTAGGCAGGTCTTTCCACAAGCTGCTCATGGAATATACATGCAGCACTTGTCTACTAACCTGAAGGACAAGTTCAAGGATGATGTCATGCAAGAAATGTTCATATTAGCGGCAAAGGCCTGTCGAAAATTAGAGTTCATATACTATTTCTCCCAACTAGCAGGATTTCCAGAGGTCCAGCGATACTTGGAAGGAATTGGTTTTGAAAAATGGACTCGTGCATTTCAACCGGGTTTGAGGTATGACCAGATGACATCAAATATTGTGGAGTCGATGAATTAAGTCCTTGTCCATGCACGTTATTTGCCAGTCACTGCACTTTTGGAACATGCTTGTGCACTCTTACAGCGCTAGTTTTACGAAAGCGAACCTACGCATCCAGTCGCGAAACTATTCTCACTGACTATGGTGAGAATAAGATGCGGACTGTAGAGAACCTATCTCGTACTCATTCCACCATACCCATTGACCATCACGAGTTGGAACTTAGCAATGGACTAAAAAGGGTGCGTGTGAATTTAAATGCAATGATCTATGGATGTAAAGAGTTTGACTACTTTCAGCTTCCTTGCTCCCACGCTATTGCAGCGACCACCTATCGGAACGTGAACAGGTACACACTATGCTCACCTACATATACTCTTCAAACTCTCATTAACGCATATGCCGAACCTGTGTACCCTCTTCGCGATGAGGATGATTGGATATTACCTGATGACTTCGTCGACCGTAAAGTGGAGTCGCCCAGATATGTTCCGCGTATTGGCCGACATCAAACTATACGAATTCCATCTGCTGGGGAGACCCGCCAAGTCCACAAATGCGGTCGATGTGGCAACATGGGTCATAATAGAAAAACATGATACCAACCACTTAGAACTGCAGATGGAGACATATAAAACATTAACTGAACCATTAACCGTATTTCGGCAAATGTTATACTTTTTTCTATTACACACAAATGGAGACATGTAAAACACTACTTTGCAGACTAAATCGGTTGAAATATATATATACACGCTCGTGGTCATACTTATGATGAATAACTACCCATTTTCTGGACAATTTAACGGCCGTGAGTTTATCAATCACGACCGTGGTTATGTATCAGATAAACGAAAGTCGTGGAAATTCAGCAGCACGACGCTTAATTTCTGAACCACGACCATGAATTATCAACATCGCAGCCTTTAATTTCAAAACCACGGCCATGAATTCGTAACACCACGGCCTTTAATTTCGCAAACACAGCCATGAATTCTTGAAAAAGGCCATGAATTATCTCTACCACAACCTTCAATTCTCTCCATCATGGTCGTGAATTTCCTCATCACGACCTTGAATTATTGACACCATGCCGTGAATTATGAATATTTTGGTCGTGGGTCCTGCATTTTTTTGAACAACTTCTTACTCAAGTTGTTTGTCATCACCTGTGCCTCTTTTTATGTTAACAGTTCCAAATCCAGTATATGAACAACATTCAAGTACAGAAAAAATGCATCTAACTGTATACGATTCAAAAAATAACAACGTTGAAATATACAAAAATAATATTTAACTATTACAAATGATTCATATGATAGATTTGTTCGCTCAAAGCTGAACAGCAAATTGCCGCCTAAAGAATGACATCCTAGACTGTGTTAAGGTATCAAAGCTAGAGCCAGTCGCATCATACTCAAAAAATTTAACACAAAATATACCACAATCACCGTCTGTGTTCTATTGGGATGTTGATACGACTCTACGGATGCGCCATGGTGTGAGTGGTATATTCGGTTTGTTTAGCTGAACATCAGCCCTGTAGATCAGTGCCGAGATAATAGTTATCATCGGCTTCAGGTCCTCTTCCAACTTAGATAGTGGTGTCATGGACATGAAGGAGTCCCACACGATGAGCTCACCCTCGTCAAAGTCAAAACATATCATTACCCAGTGCACTTCACCGATATTGTACGGTAGATAAACAACATCGACATCCATCCAGAGTTGCTCGTAGTCCGAGTGAGTACCATCGATGTAGTTGAGCAGAGTGTTCGCTCTTCCCTCCCAATCATAGTCTGTTGCAACCCTTGAAGCAACGACGTTATGAGATTGCATGCAGACATAGACACCATCCCTACATATGAGGAAGTTTTGAGAACAAGAACGACAATTCAATAAAAGGAGAATATATATATATATATATATATATTCAGGTTATTGGTATTTAAAGCTTACCGCAAGTATTTGGTCCCCGGTGGTGAACTTGCAATGACATAAGTCTGGTCGCAGTTCGAGCTTCTTACGCATGAACATGACTAACGAATTGACTACCTGTAAAGACCAACAACAACGTAATGAAGGTAGGAACATTAATATATCCAAATTCAAGCATGGAAAGCAGTCGTACCTCGCACGAACACCATTTTTTTTGTGTTAGAATATCTCGAAACCATTGCTTGCCTCGGTTTGTGTAGCATGTCTTCTTTGAAATTTGGAGTCTTGTTCCTTCGGGATCTCGGCGACGGGATTGTAAACCATGACCTTCTTTCGTTTACCTCTAACCTTAACTTCAAAGGACCCACGAAGCTTCCATGGTGTTTTCCTCTTCCGTTCATCCCGACGAGGTAGAAGAGGATGAAATGGCTGGGATAGAACGCGTACGTCATGTGAATGGTTGTGCCACGTCGGATCAGGTCTCTGGGGGCTGTGAATGGACGTCGAGGAGCTCATCCGATTCGGTGTCCGAAAAGTCATCGAACACTCGGTCCTATAAAACATTATAATTACTAAATCAAACTGTAGTTACTAAGTGAAATACAAAGGATCACTATAATTCGTACTTACCTCGGGTGTCTGTGGGACTGGTACCTCCTGCAGATGTTCGATAGTTGGCTGCGCCACACCAGCTACTAAATTCGGTGTCGGTGGGACTGTTTCCGAAACGTTGGAATGTTTCGTTTCCACCATTTCCCTTTCTTTCGAAGTCCCAACAACATCTCAAGACACTTACGTAGCTTCCAGTGCATTCAACACGTCCGCAACCTCACCTCCTCGGTCGATATGCTCAGCTTCCATTGCGAAGTTGTCTTGGTCAGCCTCATTTTGATCGTCGCGTTGTTCGTCCTTGTCCTTCGTCGGACTCTTGCTACCACCAACTGGTCCTACAGAATCTCCATCACCGGTGTCATCTCCATGTCCAGCATTGTTCTTTTGAAGAACCAAAGTATCAACTGGTATTCCCTGTATGCAAGCATAATGTCAGAGCACATACCATATAGATGGACTAGAAAGCATTAATGGAGTACGCACCTTGACTAGCCGACGCAAGAACTTTCGAATGCTCTTCAAATCACCTTCCATGCCAGCGACGCGATCGTCTATACAAATGACTACTTGTTCCACATTCGCAAGCCGCGTATCCATGGTGGCCACCTGCTCAGTCAAAATTCTCAAGCCAGACATGCATTTGCAGCAATGCTTCTTCGCACTCTTCGTCTTCCTCTTACCTCTCACATCTATATCCATGGTTGGGACATCAGGATCAGCATGGGTGGCATCGTGCTACGCGTCACGACCTTCCATTTCATGGCCCTAAGTCGTCACTGGATGATGGCTCAAATTCTCTTTCCATGAACCTCTCCTCCGCTTCCGTTGCGAAAAGTCTGATAGCCACTTTAGCCTGTACACAAAACATAATTGTACAAGCATGTATATGAAAAAAAATATCATATTGATGTACTAGTAAATGATCTTATCGATGTGGACTGGAATATTTCCTTCTCCATGACAACCCACGCAGGTGAATGTCCACACTTCCACTTAAGTATGCGTGAGACAGCATCCGGTTTTATAGGATGCGCAACCCGACTGGTCAAACAGGATATTGTTTCGTATCCTCAAACCTGTATCAACAACACGTATGACAGCATCACATAAAATGAACAGAATATAATATAAAGTAAAACTAAAACAATCACTGCAAATACTTGGAATGCCCAGGGGAAACCGTACAGACTATATGTCTTCCTCAGCCCCCCATCTCTCCCCTTCTTCGTCAGGGCACGCTTCAACTGCTTATAGTCTTTTCAAAAGACATCTCAGCCCAGTCATAATTACAGCACACCTCTAGGTCATCCACGACTCTAAGAGGCTATTATCCAACTTCAACGTCCTATCCCTCCCAAACAAGACAAGCTCCACGAATAATAACATTGATATCTTAACGGCATCAATGTCATCCTCGAACCGCATCACCATATACTTCGCCTCGAACTCATTTAGTAAGATATCGACTTTGTCATCGAAGTACAGCTTCCTAAGCCTCGTAGGAGACGTGTCCTTACGAATCGGCCGCCTACTATATTTTAAGCCCGTTATTAGACAAAATTCATTAAATTCAAAAGATACTCTATTACCAAGCACGTCCATGGTAATTACGTCTGCTCTACTATTCTCCAACTCCCTAAGCAACATGTTATGTATAAGTGACCTATTAAGTACGAGCTCTACGTCTAGAAAATGGTAGAAAATGGTCTTCCTAAACATACTAAGTTGCCTAGGGGTTAGTTTACTCTTAATAGCGAGTTTACTCTTAATAGCCTTTACCGTGCTCCCTATGTGGGATAGACAAGTCAAATTGGCTGAACGATAGCTAGAGGGAGGAATCTTAGGTACCATCTTCATTTTATAAACCCAAAATAAAAATAGAATATATACATAAATTATTATTCAGCAAGCCAGAACCCAAACAAAGAAAGGAACAGATGAAAACCCAAACAAACACATAATCTATCCAAATTCACGGGCTTACTATGGCCTAGGTAGTGCAAATTGAAGAAGGCATCTAATTCTATCAAATTTCAAGGTCACGACCATGGCCATGGTACTACCGTGAATTTGGACAGAGCGTAAACTGCATCTAATTGAGGGAGGTATTAATCGGTTTATGAAATTTTTGCTGAACCACGGTCGTTAATGCGTCCATTAATTTGCCCAGAACCAATTTCTCTATCACGACCGTGGTTCAACAAAAATTTCTAAACCCTTAAACCTTCCTTCTTCCACGCAAAAAACCCACACAATGCTTACAAACGCAACATAAAACATCAACCCACAAAACACAACCGAAAACAGAAACCCTAAAGCCCTAAATCAAAATTTCCACCACAAACGCAAGTCATAAACAAAAAACGCCGATTCGAGCCCTACAAGTACCGAAAATACTAAATAGGCTGCCATGGAAGGAATGAATGGACGAATAACAAAAAAAACCGCAAATATAAGAACAAAAAACTTATTTTCTTGCCATAAAAGGGACGCAAATACGAAATAAAATGTTCCAACCTCGAAGTTTCAGATATGGAAAGTGATTCGGAGCATGATATTGACTAGTAGAGAGTGAAAGTGAGGAAATTGAAGGAGCGTAAATCGAATGGGCGAAAACGAAAACGAAAACGAAAGAACAGAAAAGAAGATGGAATGAGAGGATACGAACAGTTTGAATTTGAACGGAGGGGTATAATGGTCATGAAATTAACGGTCGTGGTACTATTTTTCATGGCCGTGGTCAAGCAAACAATTTAACCACGGTCAAACCTAGCCCATTAGTTGTCTTTCATGAACACCACAGCCGTGGTACTATTTTTCATGGCTCTGGTCAAGCAACAAATTTAACCACGGTCCAACCTAGCCCATTAATTGTCTTTCATGAACACCACGGCCGGGGTACTATTTTCACGACCGTGGTCAATCAAAAAAATCAACCACGGTCCAACCTAGCCCATTAGTTGCCTTTCATGAACACCACGACCG